TATATATATATATATATATATATATACATACTATATACTATATGTCTATATAAACAGCACATTTTATATCGGTGAGAAATTTTGATGGAATGTTTGTTATTTAACTTTATTGCTAATATTGGCCGATGCCATTCTGATAATATTGTGCATCCCTAATATACAGTATTGCCATTGTGGTCAAATTTAAAAATAACATAATAGGAAATGTTGCACAATATGTTAGTGCTCAGAATACGTGTTATGAATGACTAAGAGCTGTTACACAAAATGTTAGGGCAGTATATTTAACACTGGCCAAGTTGTGGCTGTTTTTGTGTTTATAAAGGTCACAGCTGTGGCAACCATCTTTAATCAGGATGACCCCAATCGTTAGTAACTTGTTGATGTACATCCAGTGATTCATTTTGTTGAGTTTTATGAAAATCTGTCCAGTGGTTCGGGAAAGATTTTACTCACAGACAGACACATACAGGCATAGAGAAATGGGCAAAAAATATTATCGCCCACCTCCAAACTGTAATTCCTACAAAGTAATTAAACCTTTTGGGCACTTTCATATTAGTTTTAGAACCGGTAGTGTATATGTCAGCAGGTCTTTTACCATAAATATATTTTGTTGTTGTATTTGAAACTGGATGAGCTTATCTACTGCTATACGGAGGAATCAGTTGAGAAATAGAAACCAAACGCCCCCAGGGCCCAGAAAAGATCCTGTGTACGTTCAGATATGACTTCTCCGGAGGATGTGTGGGTTTCTGCTGCATGAAAAATCTGCTGTGGGAGGGATCTGGTCTGACGAACAAGTAACTGTTACTTCCCTCTGCTTTTCAGAACTAAACATCACCCATTACAGGTACAGTCGACCTCACTCGCGCTGGCTGATATCTGATTTAAAACAGAAAAAATTTATATTTCTCCTGAACTAGAGGCTAAATGTGACCGTATAGAAGCATTGCATTTAATTACACTTACACAAAGTGAAAGATGTGATATTTGTCTTTAGTATATTTTGTTTTTGTGTGAAGAAATCAGAAAATTATTATTTTTTCTTTACTGATGTCTTATGGTTGGGCGTCGTGCCTAATAAAAAAGAGAAAGAAAGTGAGGAAATAAGAGAGATAATAGATCTTTATTGCTGACTATTTAACTGTTGATAAGTGTTCGCTTTGTTAATGGATTCATTTAAGTTGGAGTTAATTGTTGCCATCATTTGAAAAGAAGGATCAGTAAACAGTGCGTTGGTTTGAGTAGAGCTGTGGCTTGAAATTTTCATGAGTATAATTTATAAACAGATGCAAAATGTCAGACAGAGACAGTTTCAAGCATTTTGTGCAATTCTTATAAATGATTCTGATGTAGGCAGACCCTCTGTAAAATCACATCCTAATCAAATCAGTTAAATATGCCCTAATTTTATATTTATATATACTATATATATATATATATATATATATA